AGAACTGTTGAATGTAGCCACTCTCTTCTCGGCACCGACACCTTGGATATCAGCCAGACCCGCGCCAGGGATGAGCCAGCCTGCAGCGCCCTGCGGATCTGAGGGCCGAGGATGAGCCCGACCGAGATGAAGAAGCCTCCAGACAAAGCCTTGACGGGGGAATTGCCAGGCAGGGGGCTGCCCAGCAGGGTCCCCCCTGCTGGTGGGGGAGCACTGAGCTGGGTGGTGACCGGAGGAGACTGAAAGAAGCATTAAACTTTTTGTTTCGCTCAACAGCTCAGTTTTTAGGAAGTCTTTTGCCTGTGGGCTTCCCAGATCTGCCTGGCAGGGTTGGTGGGGGGCTGTGGACCCTGCAGGGGGGGTGTAGCACTGGAGCTCAGTCCCTGGCTAAGGACCGGGCTCTGCAGGTGGAGGGTTGGTTGTTCAGATCTTGCTGCTCTGCTCGGGAGCAGGATCAGCTCCACAGCTCCCCGGGATGGGGCCGCAGGAGAGGGCCGGCTCCACACCCACGCTGCCCTGGTGCGTGTCAGGCTGCCGGGAGCGGGTGACTCAGGGCCGAGTCACACATGGTCCCAGCCGCCTGTTCTGGGAACCAGTGTCCTGCGAGGCTGGGCAGCCCCTGCTGCGGCCAACCCCGGGGGCGGGCTCCAGGTATTTGTTGCTGGCAGGGGCCCAGGTGAACCTCACTGTGCTCCTCCGGGGTCCAGGCTCTGCCTCGCTGGTGGAGAGGAGCAGGAGACGGCACCGAAGGGGGTTTGGAAGCTGCTCTCCAGGGATGGGGAGTCCTGCGCTGGGTGAGAACGGAGCTGTAGAGCTCTCCTGTGGTGAAAAGTCTGCGTGTGGACACAGTGAGGGCTTCTGGGACCCTCTGCACCCCTGAAGGTGCCTCTCCCATGAGGCATCACCACCTCCCAGGCTGCCTTGGGGAGCAGAGGGAGGTGCAAACGCTACTGCTCGGGGTCTGCCAGAAAGATCACGGCTGGTCCCAGCTCCAAAGGCAGGCAGGGAGGAATGGCCTTGGGCTGAAGCAAAGCTGCAGGGTCTCAACCAAATCTGTCTGCTCAGGCTCCAAGGCAGGGCTGCTACCAAATTTTGGCACCTGTCGATGTGCAGAAGGTGGCCTGGTGTCCATTAAGTGGGAGAAGTGGAGCAAATCAATGTTGTCCTGTGGTCCTTCCTCATGTAAAGCTGCTCTGCTTGGTGTGTGCTTGCTGATGGCTGCAAGAATCTGAGTTTCTTTGGGGCTGTTGTCACTCAGAGAGACTGAGGCTGCTGAAACTGGATTGTGCTCTGAGCAGGAAGGACCACGGGTGAGCAGCTCCAGCTCAAGGCAGAGCTGGTGGTTTCCACTGCAAGTGGTGGAGACTTCCCTGCTGCAAGTCCATACAAAATATCCAGCACCTGCTCGGTGCTCAGTGAGTCCCGGTGTGCAGCGAAGGGGCAAAAAGTCGTGGGTGGGGGGGTGTGTGTGTGTGTGCAGGATGCCCGAGGGCAAGGAGGAGCTCCCAGCCATGGTGCTCCTCCCATGCAGCGCTGTCGATGCATGATATGGAGGAGCTGCAGCCACTGGCACCTCCGCCCTCGTGTGCCTCGGCCCAGGGGTAATGCTTGGATTTGCTGCTTCCTCCTGCCGTCGTGAAGCACTGACCTGCTCTGCCGAGGACGAGCTCTTGCCTTGGGAAGATGTGGCTGTTTTGGGGCACAGAGTTGCCCTGAGTGGCAGCACCAAACCGCTGGGGTCAGGAAATGTAAAAACCTCGTATTTCAGGTCAAATTCATCCGGGAGAAGATGCCAGAGCGCAGGTTTGTGCGTTTAACACAAAACCAGCGTTGCAGTAGCTCACCTGCTGAGCAGACAGGCTCGGGCCTGCATTTAAGGTAAAAACAGAGGGGTTTTAGGTTGACAGAGTAAATGTCCCTGTGGGAACTCGCCGGCTCTCGGGGCTTACCCTTCCTCCCGCACAGCCCCATGTGACCGGTGAGTAAGTGCAGTGTTTCCTGTAGAAAGCACAGCCTCACTCGCTGTTGCCTTGCACAAAATCTGGTAACTCTTTCCTCTAGCGTCGAGGCTGCGTTTCCTGCAGCATCCGGCTGCCTCCTTGAAGCATCCAGCCCAGAGGGACCCAGCAGGAGAGGGGCCATGGACCGAGACCAGGATTTCTCTGCCAGTGGCCGGCTGCTGTCAGGGGATGGGAAGTGCTCGCTGGGGCAGTTAATGCAATTTGAAGCCAGCTGTAGCAAGAACAGCAGGTGCTGCTCGCTCAGAGGTGGGGTGGCAGCTCTCTACCCTTAGGGGTAGGGTATTTCGGGTGAGTTTTCACACGCAGACCATGTAGTTCCCAGCCAGGGGAGCAGCTTGCCTTGGTCGCAGCTCCTCTCGCTGGGAAAATGTGCTTCTGCACAGCAGAAGGTCAGCGTGACCGGTGTGCTGAACGCAAGCTCCCTGCCAACTGCCAGCGAGAGGAGCAGGAGGAGTTGATGGATCTGGGAACACGGGGCTGCTCCTCCCTGCTCAGACCCACAGCCAAGTGCCAGGACAGGGACATCTTCCTCTTACCCAGCCCAGCCAGATCTGAAGTGCTGCTGTGCTTTGCCCCGGCGTGCGAGTGAGCAGCCAAGGGCTGTCCGCAGACACAATGTAGGTGCTGGGTTCGGTTTTGCTCGTGATTTTATTTCTCTCGTGGCAGGATGGGAGGATGCAGAGCTGTTAACGCTTGGTTGGCGCTGTGCCCCTCGCAGCGGGGCATGCACCGAGCTTAGGTTTTTGCCAGCGAGGGTACATTGCAGGCATCGCAGGCCCTGCAAACGAGAGGTACGGTGGGGGCTTGGGGTAAATCACACCTCTCGGTGGGCTCTGCTGGCATGGAGACTGCAGTGTGGTCCTAACACCAGCTTGGGCAGGGGGTCACTTACTCTGCTTCTTCTTTGGAGATTTGTCTCCCCGAGTATAAAACTTCTGCGATCAGAGACACCATGGGGTCGCAGTTCAGACTGGCAGCTGCAGTCACGAAGCCGTCCCTGAAAGGGAAAGCGGAAGATTGCAGATCTGTTCAGTGCACATAGCTCAGCATGGCAGCGTCCCCGTGGCACCCCGGCCGGAGGCCAGCTGGATTTCGGAGGGCTCTGTGCAGGGTGGCTGGTACTGCAGGGTGCACGGGGACTGGCAGCGGGTCGCCTGGCGCTGCTGGGAGCTGGGCACCGAGCCTGGGAGCAGTGGGGCAGAAGGCGAGGAGATGTGTCCCGGGCTCCCTGCCCAGCTGCTGTCTTCATGGAAGCTCATCCTCATCTCTTTTCCTGCCTGGCTTTGGTTTGCTCTGATACCATCTCAGCGTTGGTTCATAGACCAGCAGCTGCCTGCGGTGTGCAGCTGCGGAAGGTGATGTGGAGCCTCCACAGAGCTCTGCAGCCCGTACAGAGAGGACCATGCCCTGTTCCCAGGGTGCTGTTTTGTCAGGGCACGAACCAGTGACAGCTTCACTCACCTGATATAAAAAATCAGGAATTTCTGTTGCTCCAGGTTGCCCTTCACAATGGTGTCTGTGTAGCCCTTTCCACAGCCTGCAAGAGAGAGCGGCAGAGCCTGCTCGGGGAGCCCTGGTACAGCAGCTGCCACCCATCCCACCTCAGTGCCACTGCTGGTTCAGGTAGGAGCAGGGAACAGGGGTCTGGGCTGGGACAGGGCTGGGGAGCAGGCACAGAAGCCCTGGACAAGCAGAACTGGCCCAGAGATGCAGGACTGAGTCATGACCCCAAGCTTTTCCTTGGCTTGGAGAAGGAAGTTCTTCCTCTTTTGTGACCTCCAAGCCACCGGACATCAGCAAAGAACAAGAGCTGTGGGTAACATGCATGCCCAGAGCTCAGAAACTGAGTTCACAACCCTGTCATGGCCCTAAACTTGAGCTCCTTCAGGTGAAGCAAGGTGAACTGTTTACAAGCCCCAGCTGGTGGCTGTACAGATGGGCTAGGAAGCAATTTGGCCGTTCCCACCTCTCTGCGCCCTCCTACCTGCGTAACGGATGCTTTTCCCAAGCATCGTGGTCCAGAAGAAGGGAACAGTGTGCAACTTCTTCTCTTTCTTCAGCATGTTTAAGGCAGCAATGTGACCTGTGATGAACCAGCAGAGGAAACGTTTTCATTTCCTACAGGTTCCCAAAGAAGCATCTCCTGCCTCTTGCTATCCTGCTGTCCCTCCTGCCCCATTCCCTCGATGCCATCTCCGCAGGGAGCTGGGAAGCAGCGTGGCCGTGCTGTCTCACCATGAGCCTCAGCCACCTGTTGGTGATGGATGCTGGACCGGTCCCCGTTGAGCAGCGCTACAGGAAAGGAGACCACGTCCCCCGCAGCGAAGACATTTGGGATGTTGGTTTGCATGTGCTAACAGGACAGAAAGCAATTAGTGCTGTGATGAGAGGGATGGGACTGGGTGTGGAGTGGGGATACTCAACTGGCACGTACCAGATCCACCAGGATGGCACCGCTGTCATCTCTGGTGATGGCCGTGCCCTTCAGAAACGCTGAGTTGGGGATCACTCCTGCAGGGAAAGGAGCGAGGACAAATTCAGCAAAGCTCTGTGATAGCAGGGAGGAAACGTGGCCTTGGCCACACAGCAAGGATGTGCCCATGGGGAGAGCCACCCCCACAGAATCCCAGAATATGAGGAGATGGAAGGGATCTGGAGAGCTCCCCCAGTGCAACCCCTGCCAGAGCAGGATCACCAGAGCAGTCACACAGGAACACGGCCAGGGCTTTGGGTGTCTCCAGAGGAGACTCCACAACCTCTCTGGGCAGCCTGGGCCATGCTCTGCCACCCTCACTGACAAAGTTTGTCCTCATCTTCAGCTTGAACCTCCTGTGCTCCAGCTTGGGACCATTGCCCCTTGTCCTGGCATTGGCCATCCCAGAGCAGAGCCTGGCTCCTTCCTCCTGACACTGCCCTTTCCAAATGGATCCCCAGGAATGAGGGCACCCCTCAGACTCCCCTGCTCCGAGCTAAAGAGCCCCAGCTCCCTCAGCTGCTCCTCAGCAGGGAGATGCTCCACTCCTTTATGAGTGCCTGGGCTGGTGCTGAGCTAATCCAGGGGCAGGAAAACCAGGGCCCAGGACAGGGCCCGCTCTGACAGCACAGCAGGGCCCTGCACAGCTCGGCAAGCGTGGCAAAGTCACACTGGGAGCACAAGCAGCTCCTCCCCTCCCGCCATCACTCATGGGCTGCTGATTTTCTCCAGGTGTTTGGGCCCAGCAGGAAGGGTGGATGAAAACAGAGTGGGAAAGATACTGCAGGGAATGGTGTCCTGGTTGCACTGGGGTGCTCTGGGCTTGCTGGCTGTTGTCCCTGTGCCCAAAGCCACCTCCTTCTCCCAGCTGGGGCCTCTTACCTACTCCTGCCACTACCACATCTGCAGGGAGTTTCTCCCCACTGGTGAGAACAGCCTCTGTGACCTAGGAAGAAAGCAAGAATTGTTAACAAGGGGTTAAAACGCTGTCCTAATTCCTGCAGCCTCCCTGCTGCCTCATTCTTTGCTGTCTTTTTTCCTTCCCCAGGTCCAGATCACCTTGTCCAACTAATGTGTGTTGCCAGGAACGTAAGAGAAAATCACGCTGTTGTCCCCGAGATAGGAACACCTACTGGTGCCCTCTGAGACCAAGGTTGTGCTCAATGAAAAGAAATGTGAGGGTCTAGACATGGGAGAGGAAAGCCTAGATGTAGGCACTGGATTATACCTCAGTTTGGGCTTCTTTCCCCTAAAATTAGCAGATCAGTGATCACAATGACACAACTGACCTTTCCATCCTTTCCTTTCAGCTCACAGAGTTCTGTTTTCATGTAAAACTTCACTCCTTTATTTTGCAGCATCTGAAAAGGAAGAGGAAGCTGGTTTGAGAAGTCACTAGGAAATTCCAGGCTGTATGTGCTGTAAAAAGAGCCGTAACCAGCCAAACCCCAGGCAGGCAGTGTAGCTGCTGCTCCAGCCTGCAGAGAGCTCTCATTCCTGCCCCTGGCTGGCGCAGGGGAGTCTTGGCTCTGCTTTGGTCCCAGCCAGGACCAGTGTGTGAGGTGGGCCCAGCGTGAAGCGGGGTTTGGGGATGAAGCTGAGCTGGGAAGCGCGCTGTGTGTGAGGGAAGCTGCGTGTGAGAGCGGTGGCTGAGCACGCAGGGTTGTGACTCGGCACTGGGGCTGGTGCAGACCACAGGGCTGCTTGGACAGCGTGCGTTCTCCGTCCTAGAAATGAGCAGCCGGTTTTTCTAACCTTCATGGCAACTCCTCCAACCTGCGGACCCAGCGCGTTCTGGAAAGGGAACTCTCTTTTTTCCACCACTGAGATGGCACCAGCCTTGTCTGAGAGGAAGGCGGCGATCTCCATGCCTGCAAGGGAAAGGCATGCCCAGGGTGAGCCTGCTGCAAGCGTGGACCTGCACCCTCCTCCTTGAAAACCTTTTCCCCTTCCAGGTAAGGAGAACAAATCTGATTTATTGCCAGTGTTTAACTGCTCCTCTGTGCATTTCTGGGCTGAGGTATTTAGCACTGTCTTTCGTTCTCCTCATGCAATGTGGAACCAGACAGCTCCTGGTTGTGTACAGAACAGCTCCCTTTCTATGTCTTGCTCCCTCACTTTCCCAATGCTTCTGGGCAACCCAGCTCCTCCGAGGGACAGTGACCTTTCCATAAGGCACATTTCCTTCTGTCCATGTCCAGGAACTGTTTATAGCTCTCAAAGTTTACAGCTATCAGAGGAAAGAGT